CATGACCGTATTCCAAAATCCTCACTACTACATTTCTCAATACATTATCCAATTAACCACAAAGTTGGCAAGGGAGCAGAGTGACTGAAACACACACTAACTCTGCCATGTTTCAGATGGGCATTATTTCATCTGAAGAACAGGAGAGGGCTAGAAAAGCTTTCAGAAATGTCTTTCCGAGGAACAGAACTCAAGGAACTGAATTCAAGGAATCCTAAGAAAGATGAATTTTAAAGCCAGAAATACATCAAGGGCCTTTCTTCCAGTATGTCATTGCGTATTGGACATTCAGGGCCACCACAAAAAGCCAAAGCCTTCCTGCTGCAGGGAAGCAATGACAGCTATCAAAGTATATGAGCAGCAGTGCCATAGCTTTTACATCTCTCCCAGTTCCCTGTATTGCATCTTTCTGCACAACTGCCAAGCTGCTTCCACTACACATCACTGATCAGGTAGAGGGGAGCAGAAACATGTTTACAGTAGCAAGAGACTCAGGATGAACATTAAACTACCATTACAAATAACAAAGCACTGTCTATTTTCAGGATAGAAACTAGAAGTTCTACAGTAAGCTGCACAGAAAAACAAAACTACACGCTAAGATGTGCTTGCTAATTCCACTTCTGATGAAGCATGTTAACTTCTTCACTTAAAGCAGATCAGGTTGTGCTGTGGTGCAATCAGATCCAGCTAAAAGATGCCAACAACTCCACCTGTTTCTAATTCAATAACAGAAGCAATTCAGCATTTAAAAGCTCCTCACTACCACTTTTTCCAGAATCTGTTACAGATTTTATAATGGTTTACCTTAAACAATTAGTCACGGCACGCACAGAACTAATACTCCATCCTTACTTTAATCATACATGATGCAATACCAGGATGAGATGTTAAAAGCCAGAAGCATGTGTGCAAGGTCTACCTTTAGATTTTCATTCCCTACATTGATGTTAACAAATTATGCTGTCCTGTTCAACAGCAATAAGAAGCTGTACTCTTTACCAGTATGGGTGCCTGGTCCTCAGAAGCTATGATGACATTTTGAAACGTGTTATATTGTTCCAATACATCAAGCAATAGTTTAAGTTTTCAAATGATATTAACTTCTTCCACTCATCCTCCAGATTCACCTTAGATCTGAGACTCAAGCTAGACTTATTCACACAACACCACTGGTCAAAAAGATACTGCAGGACCAACTGGCTTCTCTGATAGATATATATATATGAGCAGACAGGAATATGAAGCGAGAACTTAAGGAGGACTGCATGTCTTGGGAACACGATGCTTATTTTCCTGCTCTCCAGCTGAAGGCTGTTTTTACGGTGAAGGTGATAGTGACACCATGAACTACAAACTTGAAACAGGACCACACAGCAGCAGGTTAACTTCACGCTGCCGTATACCAACCCAATTCAGATCACACAGTTGCTTCCAAACAGGAGATGCAGTTTTAACTCCAAGGCAACAACCTTTCTCTGGTGATTTAATCTGCATTTATTGCCACAATATTCACTGTTTGCAAGGACCTGGCTCCTCTATGCCCTGCAACTCCATCACCACTAGTTATCAAACATAGGTCCACCTTCAACCACACAGCAAACTGATGCAGAAACACCATACTAATCCCATGGTTTCTTCAGGTAATATAGCCAGCCTTTCCTAGGGAAAAGGGTTAAGTGTTCAGCTGCATGACTTTCAGGTATGTCTCAAGTGAGGAGCCACGTTTGATACTTGTAGGAAACTGCTGGTTTTGCATCTTATATTCCATTTGTGAACAGAACTTTTTGTTCTTTAATCCAAGTTCTGAATTATTTAACCCTGCCTCCAACTCTTGAAATCTCTCTTCCTATAAACAAGAGGTTATTTAGTGAAAGGAAATAAAGAATTTTAAAAGTCAGACCCTAAAGTGTTCCTGGCTCTGTTTTTAATTAATATTGATACAATCTGGAGAAATCTGCTGCTTAATATTACAAGGCAGGTCGAAGCTCATCAACAGTTAAACGCCACCTTCTAACAGAAAGCAGAAGAGGAAGTTGTGAGCAGACAGGGCGCATGTCGCTCCACTGCCGGCAACACGGGACTGCACAGTCCCAGCCCTTTGCAACTTTCTCAAGCAGAAAAACATCTTCAAAGTCATCTATACCCGGAGCTACAAGAGCTGGAGCTGACAGGGCACAGGTGGAACTGTGTTAAGCACAAATCCCTCAGGGTTTTGTCCTGGAATAGGATAATGGAAGTGCAGAGCAAAGCATTTTTATTTTCTCTAATTCCACACTCCAGATACGTTGGTACAAATGAATGACGGGAGAGGGAGGCACGGACAGCTCTGTAAGACTGAACTTCATACTCAGTAACGATAGTTTTTATAGCATATTGCTTCATCTGCAAGTGGGCGTAAATATTACACTACCTCTTCATGCAGATGGGCAGACAGGAGAGGAAAAAAAGCTAATCTGAAACAAATAACTATTCTGCACATGGATGAAGGGAGCCTCCACCTCCCTGGTCACTCCAGGACTCACCACAGACACACTGTGTGCAGAGTTAGTAAACTTTGCACTGCACAAGGGCTGCCCCGTGAACCTGCCAAAGGTGAACAGCCTCAATCCGCAACACGTAGAGAGAACCACAAGTCCTCAAAAGCAGGTAATGAATATTGTTCAAAGAACCTGAAGTTACCAGAGCGCTTCAAAGAAGAACCTACAAGCTGTTCAAGTCACACTGTCACACCAAGTCTGCACAACGAGATTAAGATTTGCACAGTGGTACTCCACAACAGGTTTTACCGTATGCACAGAGATTAAATTATGATAAAAGTGAGCTATTTTTTTTACTAAAAACGGAATAGCACAATCTATCAAAACGCCATTCGGCAGCGTTCATTACATTTTAGAATTTAATTTACATGATAGATACTTTTGGGTAATATGTTTCAATCAATAAGCATTTCTGAAGGCTTTACTTTTATGGGAAATATTTAGACTTCTCCCCCGTTTAATGTAACACCACAGCAGCGACATTGGGAGTGTTTATTTTCCTACGCTAAGCAAGTACAACCACACAGACACAGAGGCAAAAGCAAAAGTCCGCAATTAAAGATGTCAGACCTTGTTTAACTACATCTTAATTTAATCCATTTTATTTTATACAATCCTACATCTGGATCTCATTTTCTGTATTCCTGTAGGTATTCTGGGTCACTATTAAGAACCCTTTCAAGTTAGCAAAGTTCAGCCAAGTCTACCTTAATCCAAAGCTTTTAAAAGAAACAATAAAACACGGAAAGGGGGGCGAAGGAGGGAGAAGAAAGAAAAGCCTAAACAAAACGCTACTTCACCCCACCTCCTAATGCACCTGGAAGTCAGAAGGGACCAGCCTCCCTCTACAAAACCGAAGCAGCACTTCCCGTTTTGGGGCTGCTAGAGTGGTTTAGCATCGCTCCCGCTAGCTCGCCCTCCGCAAGCCCCGTCAAGGGCAGGGCAGGGCAGTGTGTCCCGCCGGGTCCCGCTCCCCGGCCCCCTACCCGCCCGCAGCCCCTCACCTCCGGCGGGGCCGCGGCTCTGCCCGGCATCAGCGCACCTGCCCCCGGCTGCGGCGGGGCTCCGGCCGGGCACCGCCGAGCCGCCTCGGAGGGGGCCAGGGTGGGCAGCCGCCGGCTTTCGAGCCAATTTATTTAAACGGGAGGCACCGGAGGGGTTGGAGAGGCAGGGCAGCGCCTTCCTGCGCCAATCAACTGGGAGAAACACGCATGTTGCAATCCTGTTCAGCGGCGGGAGCAGCACCAATTCATCGTTTGACAACACCACTACCACCACCCCCCCCAACACACACACACACACACAGCCCGCCCTGTCCTTATCTAGAGCCCAGCAATTAACGCGAAGTGCTGGGTCTGCAGCGTCCCCCGGGCACGCATCCGCGGGGTGCAGGGAGGCCGGTTTGCAAGGACTTTCCCCGAGAGGAAACAGGACTTGTGTGCTGTTACGAGCAGCACAGTGCAGCATCAGTATCGCACCCATCTGTCAGATGCCGGGCAGGAGGAGAGGCCGGAGAGCCCGTGCATTATGTAAGCGTGCCCTCCCGCCGCCGCCACGGGGAGATGCCCGGCCGGGCCGGATGCCCCGGCGCTCCGCCGGCCACTCACCAGCCTCCGGCGGCGGCTCCGGGGGCAACCCGGACGGCGCTGCCGCTACCCTCCCGCACAGCCCCCGCACAATCACACACCCCCCGCCCTCCTCAGGCCAGGCGCTCGCCCCCTTCCCGCCCGGCAGGACCCCTCCGCGGCTCCATCTCTCGCCCCCGGTGTCTCGCCCCCCACACCTCGCCCCGGCGCGGTGCCAGCGGGCGGAGGGAGCGCGGCGGCCGGAGCCCCCTGCCCGCGGGCGGCGGAGGGCCGGCACCCCGCGGCGAGGCGGCGGCCGGGCAGCGGCGAGGGAGCGTCCGCCTGGCCGGCACCACAGCGCCCCCAGTCCCCGCCGCGCCGCGCCTGCACGCCGAGCCCGGCCGGCTGCCTGCGCCCCCACACAAAGTCCCGGCACTCGGTAAACTTTCCCCGGCTCCCGGCGAGAAAAAGCGGCGGGGAAGCGGCGGCGGGAAGGGGCAGGCGAGTGGGGAGGGAAGCGGGCAGGAGAGGGAATAGAGGAGCGGCCGCCGGCAGCAACAGCACCGCCGCCTGCCGCCCTGGCCGCTCCGCACGGCCCCGGCCGCCCGGGGGGAACGGGAAGCGGGGAAGAGAGCAGCCCGGGACGGAGCGGGCGAAGCGGCAGCGGCCCCGGCAGCGCCGGCTCCGGCGCCATCTTGGGCTGATCGATGAATTGAACAAAGAGGATCAATTTCCGATGGGGCCGGTGATCAATGGCGAGGGGGGAGGGCGGAGGGAGCGGAGCGCCGCGGCCGGGCGGAGCGGGGGGTTCCCTTTAGGCGGCGCGGGCCGGCAGCGGGAGGAGGAGGGGGAGGCCGGGCCCGAGGGAAGGCGGAGAAGGGAAGGAGCGAGGGGAGGGGGGGGTCCGGCGGCGCGGCCCGGCCGGTGCGGCGAGCGGGAGAGCCTGACCTGCAGCTGCTGTAAATCAAAGCGCTTCCAATATTGAAACATCGATCCCACATTGGCCGCCATCTTGAGACATATTGAGACAGAGTGAGCGGCTGATCGAGAGAGAGGGGCTGGAGTTGGGAGCCGGGAGGGAGGGGGAGGAGGGAGGGAGGGAGGGAGGGAGCCAGCCGGGCGGGGGGAGGAGGGGCGGGGGGGCAAGGGGGAGGGAGGCGGGCGGGGAGCGCCCAAATCCCGGCCTGGAGCCTGCGCCCGCCCGGAACACGGACTCAGCCCGCGAGCTCGCGGGGGGGCGGTGAGGGGGGGCGGAGGGGGAGCCGAGGCCGCGCGCGCACAGGGCGGGCGCTCCCATCTCCATCTCCCCCCCCCACCGCGTGTGGTCGTGCCGGGGGGGGGGGGGTATCATTGCCCGTGGTGCGGATCCCCCCCCCGCCCCCGGTGCCGCCTGCGCGGGGCTGGCCGCGGAGCATCGCTGCCGCAAATGGTTCCCCAGAGCTGGGGGGGTTTGGGGGCGCCGCGGTCCGAACTGAGGTGAGCGGCAGAGTTTAGGGACACGGCAGCGACCGAAGTGTGTTCAAGGCAGCCGCGTTCTCCGCGACCCCGCCGGTAACGGCGTTTGTCGAACCGCCGGCGGGCACTGCGTGACGGGCCGGGGCCGCCGGGGGAGACCCGCGGGGAGGTCGGAGAATCAAAGCGCGGCTACGGAGAGCCATAGAAACGGGGATTAAATGATGAAATAACTTGTGTTGTTCTAAACAATAACGGTGCTGTAAATACGGACGTTTGCCTTGCTCCCTGCCTGAAGAGCACAGCACACTTAGCCGGGCTCATCTCTTAACAAACCACACCAGTGCACTCCAACACCTCACCACAGCAAATAATTCCTTATTTTCCCTGGGAAACGGGCAGACCCACGGTTTGTACCCGTCCCCCCCTTGAGATCAATGAGCTGTGCGCGATTTTCCCAAATACAGCAACTTTCCCTGTTTTCGTCTCTAAAAGGAAAATCTGTCTTCCTCTGGGTAAGGGTAAATGAGTGATTGTACGGGGTTTTTTTTCTCTTCCTTAAATTATATTTGATGAAGTGAATTTAGTGCTCACTCAAGTCAGTGGGTTGACTCCTTGGAAATGGCTGTGTCTATCGCTAGAGAAGTTATGGCACAGCGATTGCCACAGAGTATTTCCCAATCTGCTGCCGTCCTCGTTTGGAGGAGCACCATCATTTCAACCTCCATTTCCACTTTTTGCTGAGGCTGCTGCTTACAAAGATACTAATTGCGATGGCAGGTTTTATGTTAATGGGTTTCATGTAATGATCAGCCTGACAACTATAACCCTTCAAATTGTTGGTTGCCTGTACTGGGAATAAAAATAATGGCATTCGGTGATGGGAATGTCAGGCCTCCACCTGGGCGCTCAAGGAGGTTGGCATCAGTGGGGCTGGACCACGGATGCCTTTTGAAAAGGAAACCTCTTGTCCTCCAGAAGTGCAATGCATGGAGGGAGAGCAGCTCTTTGCTGGGATGGTGGCTGGGTGTCCACACTGGGGTGACATGGGGAGGTGTGGGGTGCCTGGCTGGGATCCCCTGGCTGTAACAAGAGGGTATCAGGTGCTGCCAAGTGACAGCCATCTGCAGGGATGGAGCTGCGTGAGCCTCCAAATTCTGACTAACAACGTAACCGGTTTGGTAGCTCTAAAATAGGATTTTAATCCTGGGAAGCATCGTTTCACATTCCGGTGATCTAATCAAAATCCTTTCCTCTAATCTCTCCATGGTCCCCCCTTTCTAGATGAAAGAGGCTGGAGTTCCTGTCTTCACCCTTTCTCCGCTGCCTCCCTGCTCTACCAGTCTGTTCTGTGTCCAGGCAACTGCAAAAAGACATTTCAAAGGCTCCTGCCGTGCCATGTAGATGTTTTCTCTTGTTAGTTTGGACTGCAGGTGTGTAAGCCTCAAGGATGAAGTATCACGGTGCTGTTTTAGGTTCGGGGCATACAGTCGTAGTACAATAAATCACATAGTAATGCTCCGCTTTGAACGCACACGCACAAAAAGGCAAAGGGGAAAAAAAAGCATCTGACCTGAATCATTTTCTGGAAACACATCTGGTTAAAATCCAAAGTTTTAAATTGAGTAATATTTTAAAATGCATTTGGTAGGTATTAAATTACAGTGTTATATCTGGTAATATTTATGATACTAATGTGTTAAGCGGAGGTTTATATCTGTCAAGAAATAAGAATGACTGTCAGATGGGGTAACAAATGTAGCCTGATATAAATAATATCTTATGATATTTTTAACATTATTGGAGTTTGGGTTTTTTTGCAGGAGTTACATCTTTTCACATTATTGCCAGTTTGAAATGAAAGCGCTGTGGCTAGATACCAAAGCTTTTAGCTATGTAATTTAGATAAGTATAAACAGTACGGCTGATTTTAGGAAGTGCTGAGAAGCCCTAACTCTGCTGGAAGACAGACGCTGAGCACCTATAATTCCTATTGTCTTCTGTGCAGGATCGAGTCCCTTATTTGCCATTTTGTGTGGCAGCAAGCCCAAGGAAATCTTGTTTGACAGCTCTGTTTTCTCAAAGTGCTGTATTTCTTCGGGCTGGATTCTGCAAAGATCCTGCAGGGTACAGAGCTCCTCGGAGCAAGCGATAAATTTGCTTTGTGCTCCTGCTGAAACGTACTTGGGAAAGATGGAAGAAGGATCTTGGAAAATGTGTGCACCCTGGCAAGAAGATGGTTAGAAGAACATTTCCCTTGAATTATTATGTTTTGAGAAACCAGCCTCATCTGTTCATTTGAGAAAGGTTTTCGTAAGGTTAGATTTGATCTGTGTAAATGCTAACTTCTTTCAACGTGCACTAATAGAGTACTGAAAAAGTAAGTACAGTGGGTTTGAAGTTTAAATCTCAGATGACGGCAGTAACTAATAGTGCTTCAGGAATGCTTGCTACAGCCAAAACATTTGTAAGTATGTTGTACAGATTTCTGTTTCATTTTCACCCAGGTATAGTCATACAGGCACTATTTTAGGAATTAGGCAAATACCTGATTAAAATTTCTTTCCTATTAATGTCACTGTGTTATAAAACCTCACTGATACAGATATTTAATTATGCACATTGGGCCATCAATGGCAATTGCTCTTGTTGTGCCTCACATGTCATCGTCCGGAATGGACCTTTATTCCAAGGGTCCCAAACTTGTCAGAAGCAATTCATTGTCACAGCTGCTCCTCTGGGCAGCAGTCTGCATTTGTTAAGATATTTTGGACCATAAGTCCAATTTTAATTTCCAGACTTAAGCTTCTATTTGCCTTAGGAGCTCTAGCTCATTTCCTTGGCCAGGACACTGAAAGATGAGGTGCTGCCTCTCCCAGCAATGCTGTAACTTTGAGGTTCTTCTCCACAAATTCATGGTTTTTCTTCTCTTTCACTTAATGTGACTCCCAAATTTCTATCAGTTCCCACAGAAGAGTTCTTCTGGAGCCTTATCGGTACCCATCTCTGCTCCTTGTCCAGCCCCTTCCCTCCTCACTTCCATGGCTCTCATCTTCACATTTTCTTCAGTTGCTTCTTGTCCCTGGCTGCCTGGCTCCATATGCCTGTGCCCACTGAAAGGAATGTCCTGTTCTGAAATCCCAGCCTTTCCACTGTGAAGGTGTCATTCTGCTCACTATTAAACCAGATTTGAGAGCAAAGCAAGTTCCATTTCTCATTATTACACCATGCCATTGCATAGAGGACTCCATAGGCATGGCAGAGAATAGAGACAGCCAGACAGATAATTCATATTGCTGGGAGATTTAGTCCAAGATCAAAACCCATACATGTCTTCCAAATCACAGGTACTTTTTTCCCCAGTTATAGGCACTGACTAGAATTCCGTTTGATTTATATCTGTTGTAGAGCCAGAGGTTTTGCAGCATATAAATTGCAAGGGGATTGCAAGACGTGGACACAATGATACACATGAGTTCGAGAATCCCCCTGGGCAGAAAATGGTTGGAGAAGTGTCCCATGTGCCTGCCCACTCTTCCCTGGGTGTCCATTTGCGGTCACTGGCAGAGACAGGGGACTCAGCCTGATGGACCAACATGGGTAACCCCACATTCCCTGGTAATTTGGCAAAGTTTTAGTGCAAATCAAGTAGATAGTGGCATACATGATGTAAGCGTGAAACCCTGTGACTACTGCAAAGCCACAGATACACAGTGGTAGGTGGAAGAGAAGAAAGCAATTCTCATAGAGGGCAGGGAGAACAGCCACAATTAAAAGCAAAGCAAATTTGGGTGGTGTGGTTACTTGCTGTTTAACTCTGAAGACATTTGTAAGTACCCAGCATAAGCCACAACAGATCTTCTTTGAGGATTTGTGGATTAACCCATACCAACAAAAACATGTGATGATACTGTAGTGGTATTCTCTTACCATGTACAGGAGGAGTTATTGAAGACCCCCAAAGAATGAATATATCACTGTGCCCAGTGAACTGAGTCATTCTTCCCACACTGAGTATGTTTGCAGCATTTCTGTCAAAGAGCTGCTTTTCTTAAAGTAAATTTTATCCAGATGCATGGCAATGTTTTGACCAACATAAGTAATATCAGTACCCATAGGCAATCAAGAGAATTAGAGAAGAAAAGGACCTCTCGGGTTATCCAGTCCCTGTAGCTGGCATTCAAGAACAGTTTCATACCAAATTTATTGAAGTATATGATTCCTACCAGTTGTAATTTGCAAGCACCTTCCTTGCCTTGTCTCCCTTCACTCCACACACAGGATGATGCAGACGGGAGGCACGTTGGGTCCTTTCTTGGATGGGCAGGGCTCACACTCCCTGTAGCACTCTTGTGTCCGACTTTTACACTGTTCTGTTGATTTGGGCATCTATCTTCTCTGGCCTTTAAAAGGATTAGGAGACAAGTTAGTAGGTTATGTTCTCAGGCAAAACTCCCACCTTTTTTCTCACTTGGAACCTTTCACTTGTTTTTTACCTCTTTTTTACATCTTTTTTTACCTCTTAACTGGTTTCTGTTAGGGGCTTGGGGGTTTGTTTTTAGCACATTCTTTTTTTGTGAGATTTAACTCTTGCTACTCATATCATGTGTCTCCTCACCCACTTCAGGCAGCCACTTCCTCTCTGCAGGTTCTTGCTCTTTCCATCTCCCCTTCCCTGCTCCCTCAAGGATACATTTCAGCTGTGCTTTCCCTCCCACTGTCCCAGCCAAGAGGAGGGAAATGGGGATGTCCCATTTCTCAGTTTCTGCAGAATCGCCAGGTCCAGTATTTCATGTACTACTTAAGAGGCTGAAACCATCATTATTAGTTTAAATACCTTTTTGCTTTCTGAACCTCAACTGGAATGATTGCATTCTGCTATCATTGTGCTACTACCCCTGTAGCAGGAGGGCTGGTTCAGTGGCTGTAGCTGGGGATGGGAGCTGTGTTTTGTGTCACAGAGCTCTTTGTGACACAGAACAATTTACTGAATCTTCCCCAGTTCCTTCATTCTGTAAAATACGAGTGGTCACTGGGAGGTAAAAATCTTGTGGCACTTGAATTTCGTGGGCTGCAGAACAGGGAAACTGCAAGAAGGAGATGGAAAGTAATAAATAAATAAAACAGCTCAAGAGCTGCTCCCTCACCTACCAGTTTCTCTTTCATTCACTTCCAGATAAGGCCCATAAAGTGCAAGGCTGACGCTATCCTGGAAAAGGAAAGAGAAAAAAGGTTTTTCTTTCACTTTCCAATCACAAACACTTCACGTGGGGAAGGAAGAAGGGAAGATCCCTCTGCCCCTTTCCTGCAGCTGGGCTTTTTGGTCCCCTTGTCATGGCCTGTCACCACCCTGGGGTGGTCACACCCGTTGCGGTTGGCTCAGCCCATAGCCTGCATCGGCACAGCCAGCTCCAGCCCTGTTGCAGCACGCAGGGATGAGAGGAGAGGAGAGGAGAGGCAGATGGATATACAGGGATGGAGATACAGGTATGTGCAGCGATGATACCATCGCCTGGTGCTTCCACTGTTGGAACCCAGCACATGGACAGGCTGAAGCACTTGCTGGAGCCATCAGGGCAACCAGGAACCTGGCTTTATCATCATGTGATGTTTAGGGTGTTTGAGGTGGTTTTTCTTCCAATAATGAATGTGAGATTTCATTTTGGGAAGCACATCTTTTCTTAGAAACACAACTGTGACTGACTTAGCACAACTGTGATTTTCTGCAAACACAACTGTGTTTGGGGTTGTTGCATTGGAATGCTAGGGTAGGAGAAACAGTAATTCTGGATTAATGGAGAAAGCAAGAAAACAGACACCCTCAGAGGAAGCCCTATGTTCACCACAGCTGCCATATACTGGCAAAACTGTACCCCACAGGAAACATTTTGGTGTGGAGAACCTCCTTTTTGAATAGAGCACGCTGGGTGCTTGCCATAAGACACACAAGTGAACCAAAGTGCTTGGGTTCACATATCAATACAGTATTTCTTTAGGAGCATGCGTGAAATAAATTGATTTTTTTGCCCCCAGCATTGCATAATTTCCTATTTGCTGTTTGGGAGTTCCCAAATGGGGAAGGGGGGGCGGAGGGGGGAGATCAATGTAATTTTCTATTTCCAAATATTACCTTCTTCTTTGGAATAAAGAGATCCAGTCTTACTCTGCCCATGATTCTCCACATTTAAATGTTGGCCCTTGTTTGCATCTCCTTGGCATTATCCTGGATTTGGGCTTTAACCTGATAAGAATCCAAAGAAATTATAGGGGAATTGATGGGATCACTATGAATTTCCAGGGGTGTGGGCTAGTGCAAACCATTGCCTATTAATCTTGTGTTCTTTCTGCAAATAACAAGCTGGATTTGGCCCAGTGAGAGTAAAACAAATTGAAATCATTCATTAAGGGAAGGAAATGGCTTTAAGGTGGAAGAATAACGTATTGGTGGGTTGTCTCCAAGTATCCAGGGTTTAGAGGTACCAAAGCACATACAAAGCTTCAGTTTAACATGTTCTTAGCTGCCCTGCTGCGTGGGGCTGGCTGCTGAACCAGAGCCATGTGCAGAAGACCTGCTTTCATGGAAGGATCCTATAAAAAAGAACTAAACACTGCAAGAAGGAGCAAAATGTTCAAGGGCAGCCAACCTGGAGGAAACCAATGCAATTTAGCTACGGGAAGTGTTTATAAACGCAGTTTATGAACACGTATGAAAGAGTCATTTTTTACTGTTCAGTCTGCAACTGTCACACAGAAAAGAAACAAGTGTTTTGTCTTTCTCAGGGATTTTTAGGAATACATTGCACTTCAGTTATTTATTTGGACCTGTTTTTTCTCTTTTAGTAGCTTCTTGTTACTTCAGACTGAAATTTGTTGTGTGCTCCCCTGCATGTGATGGAGAGAGAAACCTCTACATGGCTTATCCGAAAGTGGGAATCTATTTCCTATTTTGTGTAAAATTTCAGACTTTCTTTTCACACCCGTGGCTTACCCAGTTTGATCTGCAAACCTCCCTTTTTGTTTCTCTTACATCATCACAGTAAATGTGAAATGGCACAGAATGCCTGGAATTGCAATAACGCAGTGTAGCAGAACTGACTATCAAGCTTCATATATAGATTAGATTAATGCATAAATCTTAATTTGATATTTCACATTACTGGGCTAATATTTTACAGATGTAATGCCAAGTTGTTAAGTAAATGAAAATCATGGAGAGTCCAATTCTGAAAGGATTACTCAGGCAAAAATCCCTGAAGTCAAAGGGAGTATTGCCTGAACGAAGTCTGCAAAATTAGAACTAGAGCCATATTCCCCAAACAGACAAGCAGATTTATCTTAGAGATCTGCCCATGAGTTGAATTCTTGTAACAATGAAAGATATATAGGGAAAATGAACAAGTAGGTAACCTGAAATATAAGGAGAGACTGATAAGATCACACCAACCCTGAGCAAGCACTTGTGTGGTTGGTGATGTCAACAGGAGCCCGAGCTGGTTTAATAAACTTGTTCATAGCTGTCCTATATGGTGTTTTATATACTCAAGTACATAGATCACGTACAAGTTTAACAAGAAGAGGATTCATATTAAATTTGCACATAAAATACCTCCGTGAAATATGTGAAATGCTTTTCTTCTTTATATGATTCCAATAAAACGTCGATCATAAAACTCTGCCCTCCCGCTTCTTTATATTCAGTTTCAGCTGTTGCTTTGTGTTTAAAGTTTGAATTCATGACACTCAGCAGATACAATTTGGGGGCAGTTTTAATTGGTGAAGAAAGACCATTGCTCTGCTTGCTCGCTCAGGGGGTATAAATCAGGAGAAACCCCACCAGGACTGGTGAAATGTTGCATCTGTAGAAGAGCCTGTTGGGCCAGATGATATAAACGGTTGCAGCTCCCGTGAAATACTGTAGTATTGTGTCTGTTTATAGCTGCTCAGGATCTGGCCCACTGACTGGGATGGAGCTAAGCCAGGGATGATTTCTGCCCTTTATCATGAGGTTGCTTGGTGTTTTGCACTGTAAATTCTCCCAGCTTTTGCTGCCAAACTCAGCTCTCTTCTTCACAGTTTCATACTCTGAGTGTGAACTGGTGGAAATCCAAGGGTAAAAAAATGGTGAGTATAAAGCACGAATCTGTAGCCTGGATCTGAGAGGAACAGCTTGACCACAGAGGAAGTTATTTGCACAAAAAGTATTCAAACAGATATGCACGGTTTACATGTGTTTAGTAAATCTTGTCTGAAAACTAGAACCAGCTGTATAGAATACGGAGGCCCTGATCCCAGCTCCTTCTGAGCAGCGTTTCGTACATTTGGATGATACATTTCTAGTCACTTTTTCCATCTTTTAATTTGGGGGCTGCTAGGGATTGAAATAGGAGGAGGGCGATTTCTATTTCAGTTTGTAGTAATTGTCAGCATCCCCAGGTAACTTCACAGCTCTTTCCTGCTTGGGGAGACATTCCCATCACAACCCCTTTCCTCTTTGCCTCCATCTGCAGTCTGGAAGCAGAGGTATGGCATAACACTGCTATGGTAGCTCAGGGGCATGAAAGGAGCCCTTTATGCCAGGCTTGTCGTTCCATGTTGGTGTTAGGGCAACAAGCAGGGACTAGCTGAACCCACAGCATTTCCCCTGCGTGAGGACAGTGAAACCAATTGAGCCAGTGTTGGGTTGCTCTGAAATAAGAGGAGAACCAGGCCTGAAAGCTACATTTGCATGCAGAATTAAGAAAGTTGTAGATGCAAGCAAGATCTTTTTTCCCTTCCCCCCCCCCCTTCTTTGTGTGTGTGTGTCTAACTATGCAACAAATTTTGTAGCTGAAATTTACATACTTCTTGATTCATGAAATTATGAGCAGCTGCTATTTTGCTACATTCTTAAATTGAAAAGGCAGCGAAGAAAAGAACAGACACATTAGGCAAACTCCATCTGCCCCTCATGTCTATCACTTTCCTTCACTCTCTCCTTTGCCAAACAGGATACAATGGCATAATCAGATGTCTTGGTTTGCTGGGGAGAGTCCCCGCATTTGTATAGCTGTCGTCTAAGATGGGATTTTTGTTTTTAAGACAACTCCTTAACATGGTTTCTTGTTCCCCCTGAAACGTGTATACGTATTTTCAGAGGAGACCACAGAACACAAAAGACCTCAGGAAGAGAGTAACCTTCAAAATGGCTTACAGGCTTTGGGAGGCTCCTGGAAGTCTTCAGACGTCTATTCTGAGGGATCTTTGGATCACTGGGATTTAAGAAGCTTTCCTATTTTTATTCTTTTTTTACCTTCCCTTTTTTTATTCACACTACAGGAGTGAAAAGATTTGGGGTGAGAGGGTAAAATACAGCATTCAGAATTAGGACAGATGGGTTTTTTTCTAGCTTTTGCAATGAATCTCTTGAAAAATCCAGCCTACAGGTAGTTCCCTGCTTGGACAAAAAAGGTTGTTAAAGCTCTTTGGAGAAGAGAACTTCTGTCTCCTGCATCACTGAAAACAACCTGTCCCTTTCTTTGTACTAAATGCCACTATACAAACACTAACACTACATTGCACCATGATGTAAATGTTTTAAGCTTCCATTTTTGAATTAAAAGATGGAATCTCAGAATTTTAGACCTACTTAACACCTGGTTGAACATTTACAAACTGGTAACAGCTAAGTGCATCCCTGGTAAGTGGAGTTTTTCTCTTTTTGTTGCCCCACTTAAGAAACATTGTCATTCAGTCCCATTAACATAAATAGGTTCCCTAGGAGATGTCCCATTAAAGTGGCCATCCCTATTAAGCATGTCCCAATTAAGTAGTGTTTATTGTATGGCAGGTTCCAGACCTCAAAGCAGAATAATTTTCAGTTCCTAGAGGGGAAAAGAATAAGTCAAAGAAATTACATATTTAAAAAAGGCTTAAATTGATACAAACTGATAACAGCCCCAAAATGAAAAATGAGGGCTGACACTTCATCCTTTTGTTTACCCTGTAATGCTGCTTTTCTGGTTTTGAGTTAAGAATGTAGCCTACACCCTAACTATGAATTTCTTGGCTTTGATTTGATTGTGTCATAACTTAATGTTTTATGACTTACAATCACATTAGTCATAGGAGTCACTCAAGTTTAGAGATGATGGAAAAGACATAAGGGATAGACAAATCCATACTCAGAGAGACTAATAGTCTTGTGATTGAAACGGTGGGCTGGGACCCAGG